AGCAGGCTTCCCGCTGAGCAGGGAGCCTGATGCGGGGCTCGATCCCAGGACCCTGGGATCATGACCTGAGCCGAAGGCAGACGCTTAACGACTGAACCACCCAGGCTCTAAGTGATGGAGCCAGGATTCAAACTCACATTAATCCTTCTGTCCACTGACTCTGAGCTAAGAAAGTTATAACCAGTTCACACTTGACAAATGCTCTGTGCTGTGCAAAATGTTCAGTTCTCATTACCTCCCTGTGAGGTCAGATGGGAGTACTTAGTACTAATCACTTGTATTTGTTGAGCACTTACTCAGCCCTACGAGGTAGAGATGACTACTGCCTTGAGGAGCATGGGGTTCAGAGAGGATGGCGAGCACTCCCACATCCTAACCACTAGGAAAGAGAGCCACGCGGGCTCCCTTTAGATGCAGTGGGGGCCTCTCTGGGGCACTCACTGCGGGTGCAGCTTGTACAGGGTGCCGTCCACTCCCACGGTGATCTTCAGGTACTCCAGGCCCTGGTCTTGCCTCCTCTTCTCCACGACAGCAGCCAGGCCGGCGCCATAGAGCTGGGCTGCCCGCCGGGACACGGCTCCGCACACCTCTTTCACCACAATGCTGTCCTCACACGTGCTGTCCAGGCCAAGCTGCTGCAGGATCCTCCTGACCTGGAGGAGGGCCAGCCGATCGCTGCGGGCAAGCAGAGCAGGACGTCAGGACCTGCTTCCTGGGGCCCTGGACCCTGCTCCGCGTGGCTCACAGCCCTCACATCCCTAGATGCCTTAGGCGGAAGGAGGAAAAAAATGATCCAGGCAATGGCTGCGTTAGAGCAGAATGCCACAGCATCTGGGACTCAAGGAAGCCTGCGACTCCCCCCCACCACCAGAAGTCCCACCATCTTTAAAAAATAAAGTGTGGCCCCTCTGGTGTTAGGCATGTTCAAACCTATTATCTCACTAGAAGCTATTCTTAGATTCAGCAACCAACACATCGGGTGTACATTTTCAGAAGATGAATCTGAGGTTCAGAGTTGCTAGAGACTTACCCACAGACAGCAGAGAGCAGGGATTCAAGCACATGCCTTCTCACACCAAGTCTATCCTCTCCCCTGTGCATGCCAGCTCCCATTACTCTGGCCCTGTTCACCTGGAGGCCAACTTTCCTTCTACTTAATTTTTCTGATTTTCTGCTTTCTCTTCCCAACTAGACTACCTGCTCTTTGAGGGTAAGACTGTATTCTCAATAGTAACCTGCATAGGGCTGTGTACATTCAATGGCGAAGTGAATAAATTAGTAAACAAAATACAATCAGCACTTCAGTGAACAGGAACCCACACACAGGACCATAAGCACATAAGCACAAAACAGAGAAGCACCTGCCATGGGGACAGGCTGGCCTCGAGTCTAGACCCTGATTATCTCCCAGTGAACTCCTAGAGCTCTGGCTTCCAAGCTAAACAAGGTAAAATTATATCCTTGACTGTCTCAAGGAATACAAAGGGAAGAAGAATGTTATTAAGGGAGAAACACTGAGAAATAACCTGTCTGGCTATACAGTGGATTCAGCAGGTAAATGGTGGTGTAGTCAGAGAATATAATCCTTTGTAGACCCTAACAATGAGCTTGAGTGACAATGTTTAATGCTATGGCAAATGTTCATGACATATAAGTTAAAAAAATAGATGATAAAATACTATGTGCCATATGATCTTGGTTTGTTTTTGTTTTTGAATGTTTGTCTTTGTGCAGAAAAAAAAAAATCAGAGCAGAAGGAAATCTGTTCAGATGCTGGTAGGATTACTGGTAGTTCTTATTTTCTTCCTTTTGCCTTTTTTTTTTTTAATTTAAGTAATCTCTACACCCAGGACACCTGGGTGGCTCAGTAGATTAAGCATCTGCCTTCAGCTCAGGTCATGATCTCAGGGTTCTGAGACCGAGCGCCGCATCGGGCTCCTTGCTCAGTGGGGAATCTTCTTCTCCCTCTCTCTGTTCATGTTCTCTCTCTCTGTCTCTCTCAAATAAATAAATAAAATCTTAAAAAAAAAGTAATCTCTATACCCAACTTGGGGCTTGAACTCACAACTCCGAGATCAAGAGTCATATTCTCTTCCAACTGAGCCAGCCAGGTGCCCCTTCCTTTTGCTTATGAATGAGTAATATTTGTATAGGATAAAAAAAGTGGATTTTTTTTTCAGTATGTAAAATAATAAAACCTGAAATTCCTTCCACAGTCTAGCCCATCACAGTTTACCTAGTTCTTTGACGTACATTCCCCTGCTCAACCCTTGGGTCAATCACTGGGGTTAAACAGTAGAGCATTTATCTTCTATAAGGAAAGAAATTGTCATCCAGGGGTGCCTGGGTGGCTCAGTCATTAAGCGTCTGCCTTCGGATCAGGTCATGATCCCAGGGTCCTGGGGTCGAGCCCCACATCGGGCTCCCTGCTCCACAGGAAGCCTGCTTCTCCCTCTCCCTCTGCCCCTGCTTATGTTCCCTTCTCACTCTCTCACTGTGTCTCTCCCTGTCAAATAAATAAATAAAATCTTAAAAAAAAAAAGAAATTGTCATCCAGAGAGGTAATGCGACTTGCCTCAGGTCACACAGCACAAGCAATCTTAAACTCAGGCTTGGAGACTGTAGAAGCCCAGGATTCCCCCCAAGAATCCCTGTTGCATCCATTGGACAATGTGCTTTGAAATGGGCCACAGTCAGCATAGCACCTCCCATTCCCAACTGGCAGGACATTGGATATGATTTTCTTTTTATTCCATGAAGTTTAAAAATAAAATACCTCGAAACAGGAAATCAAAACATCCAAAACAGACACCTTTTGTGCGGCAGAAGCAAATATTTCTGGAGGCATACAGGTCCTGCTAATTTACTCTTGTCCAAGAACATCTTCCTTTTTATTCAGGCAAAAAAAAAAAAAAAAAAAGGCAAGGCAAAGATAGTCCATTTGAGGAAGAAACCTTTTGCTCCCACAGCAAAAGAGGATCCCTCTGGTCATCAAAGGTGATGACTTTTAACTTACACTTTTGAATCTAATGGGTTGAAGCCAGACAAAAAGGATGCGGGATATCTGCTGATCAACATTTCAAAAACACAAAATTACTGCTGCTGCTACTGATTCTACCACCATCTCCTTAGACGGCAAGATCTGTTCTGCAACAGTCCATCTGATCTCTCTCATTAAGTACACTGCTTTCACTTCTAAAGAGTTTTCCTTTTCTCCCAAAGTGATTTTTGGCTTGCTGGCATCTGGCCATAAAGACCAGTAAAATTAACTGAATGAATGCAAATTGACAGAAATTCCAAACACCAAACTTCTGATAGAACCAGTGCTGGTAGGAAAAGCAGTGAAACTGACATGTTTGTACATAACTAGTGGTGGAAACTGGAACTATATTTTTAAAAGTGTGTCCTTAGGGAAATACTTCTTTTAACCAAACGCTTCTACTTCTAAGGAAATAATCTGTGAGATGCAAATGATAACACAAAAAAAGAAATATAATGGTGTTACACAGAATTGCGGAAATCCATAAATTACAAGCTAGATATCTTATACTAAAGGGAAAGTTTAGGGGCGCCTGGGTGGCTCAGTCGTTAAGCATCTGCCTTTGGCTCAGGTCATGATCTCAGGGTCCTGGGATCAAGCCCCATATCAGGCTCCCTGCTCAGCAGGGAGCCTGCTTCTCCCTCTCCCACTCCCCGCTGCTTATGTTCCCTCTCTCGCTGTGTCTCTCTATGTCAAATAAATAAATAAAATCTTTAAAATAAATAAATAAATAAAGGGAAAGTTTAGTAAATTACAGTATAGCAATATAATGTAACATTACGCAGCCATTTAAAATGATAATTACACCAAAGAGTTGAGATGGGGAAGTTTCTCTTTCTAGAAGTATTCCAGCTAGAAATGTAGGAGTGTTAGTATTAACTTGTCATCATTTTAGAATCACAGATCTAAGCAATGAGCATCAATGACTGCTAAGATCATAAAAGACAGAGAGAGAGACAATTCAATGCCACCTATGAAATATTCTTGTCCAAACTTCAGTAGTGAATCTAACCAGGCATCTGGGTCTTCCTGTGAGTTTGCAAGAAATACAAGGGAGAGGAAAATGCTAAATGCTGTAATCAGCAAAATCTAGAACACAGGAAACTTCTAGGATACAATGACAGTTTCTTCATCAAATATATTCCAAGGGGAAACAAGAGGAGAAGTCTATACATTAAAAGAAATTTTTAAAAGACATATCAACCAACTGCACTTTATGGACCTTGTTTGGATATGGATGCAAACAAAAACCATTATTTGTAGGCAATTTGGAAAATAGAAACACTGGCAGGATATTTTGAGATTAAGGTTTATCATTAGCTATTTTAGATGTGATGATAGTATATGGTTATGGGTTTTTTTATTACTTGTTTTTAAGGATTTTTTGTTTGTTTTGTGTTGTTTCAATTTTTTATTTAAATTTTAGTTAGTTAACATATAGTGTAATATTGGTTTCAGGAGTAGAAGGTTATGGTTTTTTCAAAGAACTAATATTTTAGAAATACATTTTAAAATATTTATAGATAAACTGACATAAAATGTGAGATTTGTTTCAAATCAATCCAGTTTGGGGGTGGGAAAAGCAGGAGTATATTAACGGACTGAGTTTGGCTGTGAGTTGATCATTGTTGAAGGTGGTGATGCAAATATTAGATTCATTTTACCATTCCCTCTACTCTTATATATTTTAAAATTTTTCGTAATTATTTCAGAATTGTAACTGAAAATTGTCATGTACAAACACTAAGTAAACAATATATAGAATGATATGTGTGGTATGATTGCAATTATGTTTACACACATTTAAAAACTTGAAAGGTAATATGCAAAAATCAAAACAGTTATATTTAATCATGACCATATGGGTGATTTTTTAAAAGAGTTTTCTTTCATATTATGGACACATCATCTTTTCAGAAACAAAAGAGGATCATTTTTTAGCCGAAGCTCACTCCCGTGTAACAGTTTAGGAAGCTCAGGGCTCAGGCACGCGGCTGGCCCTTCCGCTGTGTGCTGTGGTCCCTGATGCAGCTAGAGAGACAGAGCAGCTCTAGGAGGAAACCCCTTGCCCAGCCAGGCTCTTACTGTTTTTATTTTTAAATCTCAAGTCTGCTGGACCCCAGCCTGACAGTAGCACATCCCAGTCAGGGCCTCTCACACTGAGCAGGTGAACGTGATCCCACATCACCTTTCAATCTGGGACAGGAACTTGGTTTCAAAGATGCCCCTGGTCCGGAGACGCTCTGAAATCTGCCCGCGGAAGAGGAGACCCTGCTTGGTCAGGTCAATCAGGATCTGCCGCACAATCTCCCCCAGGTACATCCCACTGGTCATTTTCTCATATCTGTTTGGAGAATAGGGATAAGGTTGATACAAGCAGGAAAATCAGCACTGGTGAGTGGTTCACAAAAGGACCTTGAGTCTGGGTATGGATGGTATACCATTGGCATCCAACAACTGCCTGGTTTGGAGTGGTTCAGAGTGGGTAGCAGGCCCAGAGAAATGCAATGCAGAAGTCTGCACAATATGGGACAGCCAGTCTTTGGAGCCCTGTTGATCGGGAAGAAGCCAGGTCCCAGCGATGCCCCGTACTGGACACATGAGTGAGCACAGTGAGCCATCATTCATAAAACAGAGAACTTGATCTCACAAGAGTGTCGGGAGGCCAGCATCTGGTACACAGCGGGCACTGAGCAAAAGCGAGTCCCTTTCCAGGTCCCAAAGCCAGTTCTCCTTGGCTTTGTATTATAAATCTGGTTTACTAGATTCCCCTTGGCTTTGTAATTGAAGAAATCTGTTCCATTAGAGATGCTGCTTCATGAAATACTCTACTTAAACCACACACACCAGGGGTTCTTTAAGCATGTTGGAAGGGAGCCAAGCCCTTTCTACCAGGCTGTGAGCTCCACGAGGGAAGGAGCAAGAGGAAAAGGGACTTTGTAACCAGCAGGCACTGACCAGGCACTGTGCACGGGCATGAGAGACAGCGTTACTAACAGTGATGAGGAGCTGGACCACCAAGGCCTGCAGGTCAAGTGGGAAGCTGTGTCTGAGACTTGTGTGCTGGACCTGTATTCACTTTACTGCTCAGGACCTCAGCAGTCTAAGGAACCAATACTCAAATAATAGTGACAGCGAAGCAAACTCAAATGTGTTGCTCCCTTAAACTCTCACTCTAAAAATGTGAGCCTCCAATGGATTCAGACACAAAACTAAGTCAGAAGGCACTTACCCCTTGAGAAGAGCCATGATGCTCGAATGCCCCAACTTGGGATTCAGAGATAAGGTCCCTTCTTTTTGGAGCAATCCCTGGTTCAGCTGGGCTTCCCACAACTCACCTTCCTTCCAGCTATGAAGGCTAGTGCCGAAGGAAGACCAAGGACCATTAAGGCTGGTCCTGGCCTTGCCCAGGTATCTTCCTGTACAGGATTGTTGGTTCCACAGTTACCAAGGCATCTGTGGCCCACATATCCCATTACATTTCCTATCTGTTCAACTTCGCCACTGGGATATCATCATCATGATAAATCTATATTTTCATCTTATTTTATATACTAAGACACTGAGTTTCATTGTGACAAAGAACATATGGCCTGATAGTAAAGCATTTACAATCTGGTCCTTTAAAGAAAAAGTTTGCTAACACCTGCTGTTATGGATGGGCCTGAGTTAATTATCAATTCCTAGCATGCTAACTCTATCTCTACCTACCCCTTTCTCCTTGACTCAAGAAGCTAGATGAGAACACAAGTGAAAATGTACTCAATTTTTTTTTTAAGAATCATTCATTGATTTCAGTATTTTTAGTAGTATGGTTGGTAATTAGAATCTACCTCCCCAGTGACTGTGACCCATGATGGGACATGACATCATGGTTGAGAACCAGTACTCCCATCCACCACCTGCTTGCACTTCCCCACCCCCAGAACAGCAGAGGTCACCAACCTGGTAGCCAGACCTTGAAAGGCTGAGGATGTTGACCTCTAAACTGGATCTTCTAGAAGCCCATCCCGAAAGGGCTAAGTCAGCATGCCCCTGCTCTGTGACACTTGGCCCACACTGAATGAACTTGGTGACCATGTCTAAATCACTTCCAAAGCTACCACTGGACCTTATGGTACCTTATGGTGATTAGAAAAAGCCACCCCTTCTTTCTACTTCTTGGAAACTTGTCCTGTATTTTGCTTTTGTTCCAATAAGACACTTCACTGACCTCTGATGTGGAGTAGTAATAAAAATACAAAGCTATAGCAGCTATGATATGAATATAGTACCCCCCCAATCTGATAAAGTCATACACTGCACAACCACATAAATATACACATCCACCCTCCTCACCTCTGTTTGCCAGGGTTCAAGGACCCCTCATCCACCTTCTTGTCATATCGGGTCCGGATGTCGTCTATGCAGCCGTTATCTCCAAATGCTCCCCACTCTGTGTTAATGCACATCTTCCCTTCGTCCCCTTCCACCAGTTCAATGTTCCTCATCTCCTCCATGTAGCACATGTTGCTGCCTGTTCCTAAAAGGAAGCATGGAGGGACTTTAGACTTCAAAAACATCACCAGGTCCTAAAGAGGCAGAGGGGGGCAGCGGAGAGAAATTTAGGCTTGAAGTCAGGTATGACTGGGTGTGAATTCCAGCTTTACACTCGTAACTAGGGGACCATAGACAAGTATCTCATCTTTTAGAGGTCCAATTTCTTCATCTGTAAAAAGGAAATAATACCTGCCTTATAGGCTTGTTCTAAAGAAAACAGTGAGATGCTTCCTCCACATAGTAAGTGGTGCCTGAGAGAACACCATCCTCCCCCTCCTCGTCACCACCATCACATTACATCACCATCACATTACATCACCATCACATTACATCCTCATCCTCACCATTACTGTTAAGCTATAGGTACACAAGATGGGCTCCCAAGTAGTCACAGTTAGCAACCAGAGCTAGAAGGGACCATGAGGAATTATCTAGTCTTGGAGAGGTAAACATTGGTATCTGTAGGCAGGCCACTTTCTTTCTCCTTTGCCCCTGACCTGGTCTCAGAACTATTCTCAGTGCAACAGTCCAGGCAACTATTATATGCAATCAAATAAATCTCACCCCTTTGCCCTCCTAATCCTAGCCCCCGCCCCAACAGATAAGGAAACTCAAGCCCAGGCAGAGTAAGTAACCTGTCCATTGTCACAAAGCAGGTAAGAGCTACAGTGAGATGAAACCTCTTAGTTGGCATTGGAGGTGTCTCACTATATCCCCATCTCCTTGTTCTATCCCCTGCTCACCATCGGGAAGCCCAGACAGCCAACTGGAACAACTTTCCCAGATTCCGTCATTACTAACCTGTGCCTGTCCCTTGGAATGCTCATCTCCATCTTCACCTGTTCAAATCCTACCCATCCCCTCACCAATTAGAGAGTCAGCCCCCTGAAATCCACCCTTGCCCTTAATCACTGCCAGAATTCTCCCCAAAGCCCCTTAAATGCCTATAGCACGTGCCAGGCCACTCCCTTCCCTTCTAGGTTTCTTTCCAACTCTCCCCCATCCTGCACACCCACAGCCAGAAGAGGTCAGTTAACAGAGGAGGTGTACATTGGAGCTGATGAAAATCAGCCCCAAAACAACAGTGGTCTCGTTCCGGTCTGGATAATCTACCCCAAGGCCCTAATTTGAAAACCCCTCTTTCTACGCTATTCTCCTTCCTCAACAAAAGGACAACGTTGGCTTAGGACCCTTAAGGAGAAAGATATGAAGTAAAAATTTAGAAATTAGGAGACCTGGAATCCTAATCTTAACTTAATCTCTGCCTTGGACAAAGCTGGCTTTAGAAGCTCTGTGTAATGGAACAATGCTCCACCCAACCCCACCCCCACCCCCAGCCCCACACTATGTGAAAAGGAAACCACCAAAAGATCAGACAGGAGTAGGCTAATGGGACATGCCTGACCACTTACCTGCAATCAGGCCAATCTCACAATTAGGATCTTCATAGCCACAGGTCATCATTGTCCCCACTGTGTCATTTACAACTGCAACTATGTCCAGGTCAAACTCCTGCAAAGGGAGTAGCCATACTATAAGTAGGATGTGCACACCAAACAGGCTCAGGAGGGGCATATCAGCACAAGGGGGGCAGAGACCAGAGCCATAGGAATGGGCACAGGATGGCAGAGCAAAGGGGCCTGGGAGAAGGTACAAGGTTGGGCATGAGCCTCAACACCATAACATACATTTCTCCTCTTGATGGCTTCCCTGAGCATGTCCACCATGTCTTCCCCTTCACAATCAGTGGCCTTGAAGCCTTTGGTCCACTCAATGAGTGTTCCCTGAAAGAAAGGAGAAATTTATTTGAGCAATAGTTTGCTGGGACCACTACCCTACCTCAACATCAAAGAGATGCAAAGTGCTATGGTCGGCTGCTAGTCACTGGGCCTGGATCATAGTGATTCTATGTCTAATTCAGCCAAGGACAGATTAAGATGTGATGAAAGATAAAAGCTACAACACGTCCATCAAAGCACGGTTCCACAATGAAAAACTAGAGGCAGCCTATCGTTCCAATGATATAGATCTATTATCTTGTGCCTCGATATAGGAAATGTTTAAACAGTTATAAAAAATCAGGCTGTCAGAGAACATTGACTCTTAGAGAAAGATGTTCATCATACACTGTAAAGTGAACACAAATTAAACAAATACATTATTCTTTTAAAAACCACACAGACACACGCACACGTGCACACACACACACACACACACTCATATGTAGAAAAAGGTGTGCAACAATGCCCACACCAGGAAGTTGACAGGGTTCTTTCTGGGTGCAAGATTATGGGTGCCTTTTAGTCTTTCTCTTTTGTGTGTCCATATTTTCTAGTTTTCCCAAAGTTCACATGTATAATTTTTATAATACTGAGAAAAAGTATTTTTCATTTTTTTAAAAGAAAGCCCAAGATTACATTCTTAGCCGGAGGCAGGAGTTAGTCTAGCCTCAGAATCCACAGCCTAGGGCTGGGAGTGGGGTGAGGGCTGGTCACGCTGGGGCGTCTAGGCTCGGAGCTCCTGGGATAGGGGAGGGGGCTAGCAGCTCTGATGGCAGTGCCCCCATCCCCATGGGCTAGATGGCCATCTCACCCTGGGGCCCTCGGCCTTGGTCTCCCTCCTTCTCTCCACAGTCCTTGGGAGGTTCGGCTCCCTCGTTCCTTCCCTGGTGGATGTATGTAGAACATCAGAGATTCACCCCCAGTTGAAAATCTTTCGTCTTAGTTGCAATTACACAAAAATAATATTTTTTGAAAGTCTTTCTTTTTGCTCCCTAGCCATTGTGGCTTTGCTCCCAGCTGTCCGTTTGTCTCCCCCTCCCTCTTAACTGTGTATCCATGAATCTGTCAGAACCCCTGGGAGAGGCCTAGAGACCCGGTGTCCTGGTCAGGAGGAGCGGCTGTGCCTGGGCATGCACTGATCATTCAGGACTGTGGACAGCGGCACACGGCTGTCTGAATGGTGTATTAATTTTTAATGGCAGCAGTCATACAGTGATATGTTGCCCTTGTAAAAAATTAAAGTGTTACTGATAAGGACAAAGTCCCCTTTAACTTACCATCCCCCCAGTCTGAGAGGTAACCTCTACTATCAGGCTGATAGGACTCCCTCCAGACCCTTCTCTCTCCATTTACATGTATTTTAAAATAAATTCACACTGTGTGTGGACTACTGTAATTTGGTTTTCCCACTTAATAATGCATCTTCTAGACCTTTCCGGGTCAGTTAATATGGATCTGCCCCCTCCCTTCACTGAGTGGAATATTCCTCAAATATAACTGCATAGAAATAAAAAATACCTATGAAATAAGTACTATTTTATCCCCGTTTTTCAAATGAGGAAACGAAGGTCCAGAGGGGTTAAATAATTTGCCTCCGGTCACACAGTCAGTAAGTGGAGAAGCCAAGATTCCATGACCTTCCAGACCCAGGCTCTTAACCACCGCGTTCACTCTGCTGCCTCCAGTCAGGTGGGCGGTGTCCGTGAGGCACTTAGAACAGTGTCCGGCACCGAGCATGCACTATGCATGTGCCTGGTAAATGCAGATCAGGTAAGTAATTCCTTATGATTGCTCTGCCAGAGTTTCTTTAGCCATCCTCCACTGCCATGTGAGCGATTTCTCATGTTTCCTTATTAAAAAGGGGGTGCTATAGTGAACATCCTTGATCACTCCTTCTCGGCGCATGTTTGAGAAATGGAATCCTAAGAACTGGATCTTCTGGCTCTTAGCATTCTGGCATTTTTAATTTTAAGAGAGCCAGCCGTATGACCAGATAGTTCAGCCCTTTGAACCCCTCTCTCCCCATTCTCTGAATAATAGGGTGGGAAGGAACTGCTTGCATGTGTGTTTCCATGCTGTTCTCAAAGCCCTGAAGAGATCTGTTCCAGTTCTGATTTTGTACCGACCCATCAGATGAGACCTGCGTGGCTTGAGTTTCTCATATGCAAAATGAAATGGGATAAAAAATAGAGTGTAACGCATACAATAAGAATATTATTTCTTGATCTTGGGGTTTTAATTATATATATGTAGGTGTACTGTGTATTATAGCCAAGATGGTTCCAGGACATTGGTTCTGGGTCCTGGTTTCCCCAAGGGTAAAGTGCAAGAGCCTGGGCTCTCAGGTCGGTGTCCTGGGTTGGAACCTTCCACCACTGTTTATAGATGTGGCAACTTGGACAACTGACTCAACCTCTCCATGCCTCTGTTTTTCTTAACTACAACGTGGCAATTAAAGATAGTGTGTATACATACAATGAGCTATTTCATAACAATGAAAATGGAACATAAGAAATAGAAAATATTAAATGGTTCAAATGCTTAGTTATGTTTCCCCAGCTGCCCTGAACCTGAGACCCTTAAATTAGGCAACAAACAGTGACCCAGAGGTACTGCAAGGTTCCTCTGGTGGACAGCGCACTGGGCTGTCTGGAAGGCTGTTGGGCTGTCTTACCTTGTCGATGCTTGTCTGCCTGCAGGGAAATGAGAACGTGAAGCCCAAAGGCAGCTGGGCTCCCTTGAGGCCCATGTAGTCCAGGAAGTCAGCAATGCACTGCACAATGTGGTCGAACAACTGCAGAGAGAGAGCAGCAGTCATCCCAGGCCCGCAGCGATACGGGGGGCAGGCGGCACCTCGGGCACAGAACTCCCCCGCCCCTCCTGTACCTCCTCGCCGGTGCCCTGCATGATCTCCAAGGGGATGGCAAAGATCTTGTTGTACATTCGCACCGACCTCCGTCCACTTCTGATCTTTACCAGGAGGACTCGAAAGTTGGTCCCCCCCAGATCCAGAGCAAGGAACTTCCCTTTCTCTGTGGTGGAGAAAGTGGGAGCTGCATTCCACCAGCATGCACAGAGCAGGGGCTCATGTGGAGGCACTGAGAGGGAGAGGAGCCGCCAACACAGAGCAGACTCAGAGCCTTCTCCCTTGGGGCTCCCGAGCCAGAGGAGCGTGGGTCACCCAGCACAGCATCCCAATGCTGGACGGGCACTTGGAGCCTATCTGAGGCCAGCCTGCTTTTCTTGGTATCTGGTAAAGGCTTCGTATGATACTTAAGCTCAAGGAGCCTCTGAAGATGAATCCAAGTCAGGCTACACTGACCGCAGTGAAACCTGGAGGATGTTTCCATCTTATCTCTATGGCCCACAGGAATTATTCACCATGAGCATGAAATGATTCTTCCTGCCCCATGCTCTTCCCATTTGTGGATTCCCACACCTGCTCCTGACTCATAAGAAGCCATGTCGAGGCTGATGCCCCCCACTATCATCCAAGGCCACCCCAATAGTATCTCTCATTTCTCTGACATAGCAGAGCATCAGAGTCTGTCCTGTATGATCTTTCACCTTGCCCTCTGCCTCTCTCACTCTGTTCTGTCCATAGTGGTTATTCTGCTGTTTCTTGAATTTGCCAAAGACATCACTCCCAGCCAGCTCTCTAATCCCTTCTCCTGCTCTATTTTTCTTTGTAGCACCTGCTGCTACATGGCCTCATATGGCATTTATTGTCTGCCAGCCCAACAGAATGTAAGCTCCACAAGGGTGGGGATTGTGTTTTACTCCCTGCGCTATCACCCTGCCTGGACCAGAGCTTGACATATTGTAGATGCTTAATGGAACTTTGAAAAATGAAGGCAGGGGCACCTGGGTGGCTCAGTCGGTTAAGCATCTGCCTTCGGCTCAGGTCATGATCACGGAGTCCTGGAATTGAGCTCCACGTCAGTCTCTCTGCTCAGCAGGGAGTCTGTCTCTCCCTCTGCTCCTCACCCTGGTCTCGTGCTCTCTCTCACTCTCTCTCTCAAATAAATAAATAAAATATTTTTAAAAAATTAAAATTAAAAAATGAAGGCAGAAGGATGAAAGGAATGAAAGAATAAACACTTGAACAGTGTCTTTTACTGCTCTTAGTTTCTTTCCCATGTAGACTCGAAGGATATTGGCTCTGGAAAAGATCTCTGTTGTTGAGAGACCCCAAGTGCGGCTGTGCGACCTTGAGTATGTCATCTGACCTCTCTGAGTCTCAATTTTGGCAGCAATAAAATGGGAATCATTTTTTCTTTGTGTAACATACAAAGTGGTTGTGAGGATGAGATGAAATTAAAGATTCCAAAACAAATTACAAGATATAAAGCATTTTACAAAGGTCATTATTTCCAGGTGAGGCTCTTGAGGTTCAAAGAGGTGAAGTCACTCGTCTAAAGACCTGACCCCGCTGTTTAGTGGCTCCTCTTGGCTGAGCACAGGGAAGAATCAAGGATCAGAAAAGTCAGGGGCAGAAAATAATGAGAGCAGAGAGGAAGAGCCAAGCGCCAGGAGAAGAGAGAGAGGGAAGCAGGCAGGAGACAAGCCAGACGAGTCCAAGTATCCAGATGGCAGCTCCGGGGGACAACACCTGGGTCTTCTGTTAGCCAGCAGCATGGGGTACATGGCATGTTCTCAACTACGCAGGCACGCACATATAACCTCACTTAGGTATTCTTCCATTGCAAATGCCTGGGATCCACCAAGGCAAACAGATTTGGAAGGAGTACTGACCTCCTACCTTAACCCCCCTCCCTCCATTACAGAAATGAATCCAAGGCTTTTAAAACTAAAAACCTGGGGTGCCTCTGTGGCTCAGTCAGTGAAGCATCTGCCTTTGGCTCAGGTCATGATCCCGGGGTCCTGGGAAGGAGCCCTGAGTCGGGCTCCCTGCTCAGCGGGAAGTCAGCTTCTCTCTCTCCCTCTCCTCCCCCTGCTCGTGCTCTCTATTTTTCTCTCTCTCTCTCAAAGAAATAAATAAAATCTTCTTTTAAAAAATTAAAAAAATAAAATAAAACTAAAAGCCTAACTGGATTGAAGGAGTTTTGATGGGAACTCTGGGCGCGGCCCACCTGTGCCATCCGGCATCCCACAGACGTAGGTGGGCAGCATCTTGACTGTGGCCATCAGGTGGGTGTCCTTTTTCAGCCCGTACTCAAACTCAGTCCTCATCTTGCTCTGCACATCCATAAGCTGCTCTCGAGTCAGCCGGAACAAAGCCAGCACCTCATCGATCTGCTTCCGTTGGGCCTGCACACGGGAGGCCACCGCGGTCACCATGGCAGCCCCCTTGGTGCTGCCACTCTCGGACAAGAGGAAGCGGACGTCACAGTTTGGGACCAGTCTCCTCACCACCTTGTGCAGGCGTTTCGGGTATCTGAAGGCAGGGGCGATGGCAAAATATGTAACAATCATAAAGGCCCAGGCCTGGCCCATGGGAACAGACGCAGGTATAGCAGTGGAATGGGGGTCCTGAGGAGCCTTGCTGGGCTGGGTTTACCCCTTTAGTTGCCAGATGATGATGGGGCAAGGGGCTGACTGGGGGAGGGACTAGGCCAGCTAGGGTAGTGGAAGGGACACTTGGAGGATCAAAGAAGTGGTTATTTTATCACTAATATTTCCATCAGTAGGGCATATCCACACATAATGTATTGGCTGAGCATCATCTGCGTCCAAAGGGGAAGGGTCCTTTCCCCAGCTCTTTTCATTGTGTACCTGCCTGACTCCCAATACCACCTCTATTAGCTGGAGGGGCTCTCCCACTCCCTCCTTCTGGGAAATTCTCATTTCCCTGCATTTTCCTACCAGTATCCTTCCTGCGAACTTGGCAACCTCTGCCCTTCAGATTTTTCCCCATCTGTAACTGAGTGTATTTTACTTTCCAATATTAGCAGGTATTCAATAGTAATAGACAGATAGCTGGAGGGATAGATGGACAGATGGATAAATACCTGGATGGATGCCCTTCTAGTCAGGCAACTGGGCTTAGCAGAATATCTCTTTAAGAATGATCCCCCCAAATAACCCAGCCAGCTAGATGAATACGGCCTCTCTTTGCCCTGTAAACTCAGCACGGAGAGGAGATGGTTGGTTCCAGCCATACAGAGAAGCAGCGGAGTTTGGAGAGAATGCTAGGTTTCTGTCCTGGGGAGACTCGCTGGCGGGGGGTGTGCGCCCCAGGCAGCACTCACTGAGGGTGTATCTTGTAGACCGTGCCATCCATGCCCACCGTGGTCCTGAGCCGCGCCAGCTTCTTGTTCTCCCGGAGGCGTGTCAGGATGGCTGCCAGGGCCGCTGCACAGAGGTTGGCTGAACGGAAGGAAACAATGGTGCAGACGTGCTGGACTGCGATGCAGTCGGCCTCCGAAGGCTCCAGGCCCAGATCTGTCAGGATCTCTCTTGTATTGGCAAGGCCTTCCTTATACCTGGCCAGGGGACAGGAATGAGAGGGCCACGTTTCTCCATCCCATGGAAGTTCCCTCAGAGAACCAGCTTTCCCACCTCTCAGGATTGTGAAAATAAATAAGCTGACACATCGTGATATAATAATGAAAACTGTATCAAAATGATCATAGCAGCCACCGTTTACTGAACACTCACTATGTGCCAGGCACTCGTCTGAAGATTTGACAGGCATAGAGCGGGTTACTTGTCCACACTTACATAGCTAGGAAGTGCAAGGGTCAGGATTTGAACTCAGGCAGTTAGATCATAGAACCCACCCTTTTAACTTCCACAGAAACTCAGTCCCTGCCATGCTCTGCACAAACAGATTCTAGGAGTCAGATGTCACTCTGCTGAGCTCAGAATCTAAACTCATTACAAAGCTCAGAGCAATGCCAGGGTTTCTAAGCCAGAGGAACAGGACCCTGAGTGGACTGGAGCCAGCTGCCTTCACCAGCCATCTCCCCATTGCAGGGACCTCTGTGTGAGGCCTCAAATTACCAAAGCCAAGGCCAGTCCCCAACAGTACCAGGTAGAGAAGCCTCTTGCTAGAGCAGGAGTTCGTAACTTAGATTCCATGCATGGGCTTTAATGGGTCAAGGTTGTCCTAATATCGTAAGGAATATTGAGTACAAACACGCATTTTTGTGGTAAAGGGTCCAGAACTTGAATTAGATCCTCAAAGGGGTCTGGGACCCTAAAAAAGCTTTAAGTCACCACTTTGGGGAGAAGGAAGGCAGCAAAATATAAGAAAGGAGTAGATCTCCAACTGCGGACTCCCTGGCCAATGAAACCAACAAGAAGCCGCATCAGAGTCACAGAAGGCATTGCCAACCCACCCAAACCTGGGCCCAGGTCTGAAGCTGTCCTGGTGAAGATCGGGATGGATCTGGTCCCTTCTGCTGTGCCACTACCATGAGCATACAACGCCTTGGCTACCCACCCTCACCCTCTGCGGACTCAAGGTGAAGGGACCCAGCCAGCAGCTTACTTCTCCATGGCAGCCACGTGCCGTGTTTCAATCTTGCCCTTAGTGTGGAGAGCAGAAGACTTCTCACCGCTGAACAGGAGACCTGCCTTGGCCATCTTCAGCAAGATGATCCTGACAAGTTCGCCCAGGTACAGGCCGCTGATCATCTTCTCAAACCTATGATTTAGTGAACAGATCAGTAACAGCTATGGTTATGGTTATGTAGCATCCTTTCCCTATGCCCACAAGCCATGGCCCATCATCAGGACCATGAGCAATGGAAGGACCACTCCATGGCTCAGGGGGCCTCAGGCCCCATCCCAGCCTGGGGTGCCTTTGGGAGCTCACTTATCTCCTCTGGGCTACACTCCCCTCACCTATAAAAAGAGAGAACTATACTAGAGGAGATCTAAGATTCCATCCTGCTCATGAAGTGCTTGAATCCAAGAATCTTTATCACAAATCACCCCTGGCCATGGGGGTAGCATTCTCATATTAGGCATAGGAATCTCGAACTCAGGAAATTCAGGTGATCCCAAGATTGCCAACCATGGCGTGACAAATCCAAATTTCAGATGCTTCCAATGCCTACACCATGCTTCTGGCCAAGAGAGAAAGATGCTGTATCTGGGAGTTGGGCTTGAGAGGCTCTACAGCCCCAGAGAGGTTCTATAACAGTATAGATGAAATATCCCTGCTACCTACACCTCAACTCTGAATCTGCATCCAACAAGCAATGACTAACTGTTTCCCAGGCAAACAACTAAATATAATTTTTATTCTCCAAACATAATAGGGCACAAAATCAAGGACAACCTGTTTTCTAACCAACTTAATCTATTTCATTAGAAAAAGTCATAGAAGATCGCAGAAACAGAATACAGTCAAAAGAAATCCAGGTTGGGTTTGGGGAAATGAAGTTCATTTTAAGTGAAATGGAGAGAGTGAGGGTGATAAGGTCCAAAAAAATGGTCCTACTTTCTTGGGCCATGACTGCTCTGTGTCACCAGTGAAATGGGCGTGTGTGCCTGGGGGAGCAGTTATGTCCAAAGCAAAAATTTGCTTTCTGGGTATGCAGTGCTAGTGTTTGAATGGTTTCTAGGAGGTACTTTAAATATTCATTCACCAGAGCTTCTTGGAAAATTGGCCAGGACTAGCAAAATGCACAAGGAGTCTGGAACATTTACTGGGCCAGAAAATAAGGAAGTCTGTCAAGAGTGATGTGAACACATCGAAAGGACACAGGGACCAGCTTGAAGGGGCTTCCATTGGCCAAATGTGAAAATATTTGAGCATCAAAATAAATAATGATAGGAAGAAATGATACCCCATTAAATAAAAGAAAGAATCCCTGTGTTCCTATGAGGATAAACAGATCAATGGAAGAGATAGGAAAGCCATGATTTACAGGAGGTTCACAATGAATAAACATGATGGATTTAGAAATTTGTCAATGGATGCTCAAAATAAAGAGTGAAAGTTTAATGGGAAAGGGGATATTTCCATAGTCACAAAGTATCTCTTCACCAGATACGTATTCACAACAGAAGGAATAATAACAACCTTCTGGGAGAGAAACCTGTTGCGCAGTTCCTTGGCCAAGTGATCTGAGGGAGCATCTCAAGTAGTGAACAAACATCGAGGGCCTCCAGATACGATGCACTGAGGAGGACACACAACCCTTCTGTGATAGTTCTGCCAAAAACACACACCTGAATCTACTCATGAGGAAACGGTGGACAGTTGAGGGACATTCTGTATAATAAACGGCTTGTATGAGAAACAAAGAGATACTACAGAGGCTTTCCAGGCTCAATGAGGCTAAAGAGAAAGGCCACAAGATATCATGTGTGATCCTGAACTGAGCCTGGACCAGGACCATTCTTTTTTTCTTTTTTTATAAAGGACATTAATGGGGCAGCTAGTGAATTTTGAGTAAGGTCTGTAAATTAAATATTAGAACCGATTAAGTGTTAATTTCCTAATTTTGATAATTATACTTTGGTTATATGACAGAATATACTTGTTTGCAGATAATACACTTTGAAGTATTTACTTCAAAGGGATATTATGTTTGTAATTTAGTCTCAAATGATTCAGAAAAGTAATTTTATTCAGACATTTTGTGTATATGTGTATGTATATACATGAACACAGAAACAGAGAGAGAATATTAGTATTTAAGGAATCTAGGTGAAGGGGAATTTTGTACCACTTTTGTAACTTTTCTGTAAGCCTGAAATTATTTAAATTTTTTAAATGCCTTTTCGTTCAACAAAAACTTAATGAACTACAATAATGTGTAAGACACTGCGCATAGAAAGGAAAGAAAAATCAGATGTGCAGCTCTGGGGGCTCAGCATGCAGGCAGAGCTGAGGCAGACCCAGAGACTTCTCCTGGTGAGCATGGAATGAGAGCCGAGAAAGACTCCCCAAGACCTAAGCTAGGAAGGCATCACAGCAGGTGCTGTGATCAGGCCTCTGAGAAAGTGGGGTGGCAGGGAGCACTGGAAACACAAACGAGGAGCTGGCCTGAGTCCTGCTCCCTTGGGCTGCACTGGTTTTGTTCTATTTTTGCTCGTCTGAAGGCACCGAGAGGGCAGGACCTGAGTCACCTGGTTCCCAGCTGTATCTCCCCTGCCCCACACATACACGCTCCAGAAATATGGACTGAATTAGAATTGGGGTTATGACCTAGGGGAGATCACTCCATTTCCTTGCCTTCACTTTCACAGGTGCCCGATGAAACTGAAACCCAAGCCTCACCTCATAAACTCCTTGTGACGGGTAACTGGTCACAACTAGAAAGCCTCCCAGGTTCAAGGTGTACGTGAGTGACTGGGTATTTACTGACGCCAACGCCCAGATGACAGCACAAGGGGACTCACAGTTGCTTCCCGGGGTTGAGAGAACCAAGGTCCAGCTCCCTGTCGAACTCGGTGCGGATGTCCTCCAGAGCCCCGTCGTCCCCGAAGGCCCCCCACTCCGTGTTGATGCACATCCTCCCCTCATCGCCTTCCACCAGGTCAATGTTGCTCATGTCCTCCATGTAACATGCGTTGGTGCCGGTGCCTGCACGAGGGATCAGAGCAAACGCAAAGACCGAAAGGTTCCCAGCTGAGCAAAGACATAGAGAACTCTTAACTGCCTGAGAGCCCTCTGAATGTACCACAAAGGGCTTTTGATCCACTTCCTGGGGCCGGTTCTCACTGAGGGAAGCAGCTTTGGCAAGCCTGGGAGTTCATGAGGAATAAAGCTGACATGTCAAGTCTACACTTCTCAGATGTTAATGGTTTGCTGTCATGAATGGGGTCGATTGTGAAGAAGTCCCTGATGAATATGTATGAAAGCTGACAAAGCACATTTACAAAGAGGATGAGTTAACCTAACCTTATAAATTAAAAAAAAAAAAAAATCACCAACCCACAGTAATTTTTTTAATCCTTTCCTTAAGCTACTTAGCCTCTTCTCTATTTGATACTAAAAATATTCTTTACTCTGCCTGCCACAATTTGTTCCTAGCAGAAGCTACATCCTTATCTTTGACAGTTATTAGCTACCACATAAGAAAGCAACATTCCACTATTCAAACACAAAATCACTCCAAGGAAATGCCTCAAACACTAGAATATTGGGGAGTGGCTACAAATTGGGCAGTCTGTGTGGGACCCACCGGGATGATGGAAATGTTCTACAACTGGATTGTGGTGATGGTTAGGAAACTCTACATATGCTAAAAATCACTGGATTGTCCCCTGGCCAGACTTATCAAAAAGAAAAGAGAAAGGACTCAAATAAATAAAATCATGAATGAAAGAGGAGAGATCACAACCAACACCAAAGAAATACAAACAATTGTAAGAACATATTATGAGCAACTACATGCCAGCAAATTAGACAATCTGGAAGAAATGGATGCATTCCTAGAGATGTATAAACTACCAAAACTGAACCAGGAAGAAATAGAAAACCTGAACAGACCCAAAACCAGTAAGGAAATTGAAGCAGTCATCAAAAATCTCCCAACAAACAAGATCCCAGGGCCAGATGGCTTCCTAGGGGAATTCTAAAAATCATTGGATTGTACACCTTAAATTAGAGAAATTTTTGGGCTCAAAGCTGCTAAAAAATTATTTTTTTTAAGTATCTTCCCCTGTCTAATGCTCTGGTTTGAGGATTTTAAAGCCAACCTAAGAAATTTCTTGAGAGAAGCAGAATGTAATGCAATACCTGGAAAAAGCTTTTCTAAGAAAAGTGTGGACACAATTTAGGCATGTGCAGCCTACCAGACACAGTCACTGAGACACAGTGGACGGCGGCTAGAAGCCATGGCTGGCATGCGCCCATCCCATTGTGAGCTGTGGGGCTCCGGAATTAGGAAGGCAGATCAAGCCCCTCAGGTGTAAAGATTCTGCCCCTTGGAAACTCCAGCTGAGGAGAAGGGTTGGAAATTACAAAAAAGCAATTCAGAAAACTCTCTCCAATAGTGGTAAGGGAATGGGGAAATGGCAGGAACTATTCAAGAAGAGCCGATAAATCCAATCCGTTTGGCTTTATTGTCTCCCACACTGCCTTCTCACAGACGCCTCTGGCAGAACCCCTGCCAGCTCAGGTGTTGAGGACCACGCAGCAGACACCTCTGCTGTGCTGCAATATCCCTGATCTAGGCCCCATCGTGTCCTACCTGCATAGGGGAATGGCCTCTTGGCTGGTCACCTTGCTTCCATTCTTGCCCCCAGTAGTCAAGTCTCTGTCTGACACAGCAGCCAAAATGAGCTTCTTAAAAATGCATACCCCCTTTATCCATCCCCCACCCAAAGCCCTCCAGTGCCTTCCTTCCTGCCTCCTCTTGGGATAGAAGCCAAAGACCTCACAGTGACTATGTCCTGTGTCCTATGCAATCTGCCCAGCCCTGTCCACTCTCTCTGGCCTGAAAAGCCCACTCCTTTCAGCCTTCAGTCACTTTGGTTCAGCCACTGTTCAGCTTCTTAGGGTTCCTGGAGCATCCCAGACGCAATCCCACCTCAGAGGCCACAGGTCTCCTCTTTACTTTGCCAGGGCCTCTCCATCTCCACTTTGCTCCCTCCTCCTCGTCCCCAAGGTCCCTGCTCAAATGTCTCCCTCAGAGAGACCTGCTGTGACCACCCCACCACACTCACTCTCAATCACCTCAGCCTGCTTCACTCTTGTCATCAGCCTGCTTCACTCTTGTCATCACACCAACCACGACCTGACATTACCTGTCTGGACCTTTCAGCCTTTCACCCACCTCCCCGCTGAAAGCTGCACAAATACAGGAACCTCTAGGTATTAACTCCACTGCAAACCCAATGCAGAGCACAGAGCCTAGCACACAAGACACACTCAGCAAATACTTGTCAAATGAATGCATTAATTTTCCATTTCCCTACGTTATATCTCATAAACACAAAGTGCCAATACCCTCCCACAGAATGTACTCAATTTGCTAAAACTAAGCCCCAGACTAGCCCCTTTTCCCGACCTGGAAAATCAAGTCAAACTGAATTACCAATGATGACACCAACTTCACAGTAGGGATCATCATAGGCGCACGTCATCATGGTCCCCACGGTGTCATTGACCAAGGCCAGGATGTCCACGTCTATGTCCTGATGGAACACAAGTCCCAGAGGGCATCAGGGGGTGGGAAGGGGGCATCATCCCTTTATCTTTCCCCAGAGAGGAAGCAAGAGCAGTGAAGGTGATGAGACAATCACTAGCTCCTTCCTGGAAGAGACAGGGCCTCTGTCAAGTTCAAGGGTCTAGAAGAGAGAAAGGGCAGTTGGGAACTGAAGAGTAGAACCCAAGCTCCTGGTTTATGGCTGAAGGCCTCTGTGCAATGGAAAAATGAGGGACAGACCACTAGGAATCCTGCCTTTATTGGAAAGACCCCCAAGGAAAGCATGTTTCTCCTGGGAGCAAAGCCCTCCCTCGCCAATGGGGACAGCTTAACCAGCCTCAGCCAAGTCCTCTCCATGGGCAGCACTAGGGATTTCTCATCTGGGTTTCCCATGTTGTTAAGTCAACTTGGATTATTACCCCAAGGTAATATGGTTCCCCAAGGTTTGGGGGAGCATTCTAAAGTGAAATGAAACAATAAAAGAAAAACACAGGATACAAAATAGTATGATTGCCTCTTTAAGGAGAAAAAAGACTAGAAGGGTATCCATCAAAATATCACTCTTGCTGTCAGGATAACAAATAAGTTGGGTTTACTTGTGTACTTCTCAGCTCAGCAAGGAGCATGTCTTGCTTTTTCAGTTTAGATTATTATAAAATTTAATCAACGAATAGAGCTAACCCATGAATAGAGAGCAGAAAATAGGAGAGACAGCCAGACTGGAAAGAAAGCGATATTTTAAGCAAAGAGGAAAGGTGATTAGAGTATTACACATGCACGGGATCTAACAGAGACCCTCTGAGGGGGCTGTGGCAGCTGGCGAGGTCCCAGGGAAGCATGGGGCCACATTTCAACAGCCACAGGAACAAGCACCATGTACCGAGGCTTACTGGTAGGTTTACCCAAATTGGTCACAACTGGCCACATCTATACCACAATGACACCTGCCGCAAGATCAATTCCTTCTGATTCTCCTTCTAGGACACACACAGTAGGAGACCCCACCTGGAGAGAAAGGGGCTATGACTGGGAGGCGAACCCCTCACCTTGTGTTTTCTTATGGCTTTGGTCAGACAACTCACTACATCTGTGCCTTGAACTCCCCGTGCCTTAAACTTCTTGGTCCATGAAAGCAGGATACCCTGGGGGAAGATTTCAGAGCCAGTTAAAATGAAGAAGGCACTCAGTTCTGAAAATGAGTGGCAGAAATTTCATGCGTAAAGTGCATCCCCACGGGCTTCTCCTCTTGAAGCTGAATCACCCCCAATTCTTTCAACATTCCTTCAGCTTTTTCTAAACCAAGTACACATCTTTATTGCATCTGAGCAGTTTGAGACAATATACGTAATGGCAGAAAGAACAATCACTGAGGACATGGACTCATAAGACATTAGTCAAGTCATTTAACCTCTCTGAGCCTCAGTTTACTCATCTGTGAAATGGAGAAACCTCATTTCCGTGCCTCTCTCACAGGAATGCTCTGATGGGAATACCTGGCCTGTGGTAGGTACACATTATGTGCACAGAATGCATGGATTGCCAGGTCCACAGAACAGAACTAACGTGGTATTACCTGGTAGGACTCCCTTGGGAACTTAAGTTCAACTTAGAAAAATGGCTCTCTACCTGCATTATCAATTATGTGCATAAAAGTGGTGTTTCCTGGGGTGCCTGGCTGGCTCAGTCAGTAGAGCATGCGACTCTTGATCTCCGGGTCATGAGTTCGAGCCCCACGTTGGGTGTAGAGATTACTTAAAAATAAAATCTTTTTTGGGGGCGCCTGGGTGGCTCAG